GTGTGTGTGTGTGTGTGAGAATCCATCTGGCACAGAACTCACTCTTCAGTTACCCCTGTGGAAACCCTCCTGTGACATGCTCCTTGGTGACACGTTGCTCATTCCCCAGAGCGGAGGAGTTTCCAGTACATTCCACACACGGTCCTAGGGATGCACCCCCGGAATGAAGCAGGGCCCTTGATCTGTGCTGACTGCACACCTGTTTCTGCCAGAGGCAGATGGACAGTCTGACAGGTGTTTGCACTCGAGCCCTTCTCGGGCCAAAGTAGCGTGGGAACCACCTGGAGCTCAGTCCGAACGTCCCGGTGATTTAAGTCAGTGATTCGCAGAGACAGTCCGTCAGACGGCATGATAAGCAAAGACACTTAGATCAATAGGGCATCACGTGCTCAGGGACAGACAGGAATGGTCCAGGCTGGAGCCAAGTCCCGCTGGGCACCCAGCCAGCCATTCATCACCCTGACAATTTCCCACAACGCCGAAGACAGTAGTTGGGTGCCCATGGAATGCAACAGACAAAGCAAAACAATTGCTTCACATGAGATAAAGACCTTCCGAGAACTCAGGATAAGAGTGATTTATTAGGTGGACGTTCAAACATTTCAGATCAGTGAAAGCTACTCAAGATGTGCTTTTGGTTTATGTTAGAGAGATTCTGGTTTAAAGCCAGTGTAACGAAACTGGCGGTGCCTTTTTTAACTTTATCTAAAATTTCTGAAAGAACTGAGCAGCTGGAGGATGAAGAGAACTTCCGTCCCAAGAGCTGTTTTGTCATTGATAAAGGCGCAGGGCTGGGACACAGCGGTCCCCATAGGACAGACAAGTGGGGCATCTGCTTAACAACACTTCTCAAGAGGCAGAGAAACCAAAGCATTCCTCAGACTCGAATTCATTCTCAAGCAGCTTCATCTCCCTGGAACTGGTGCTTATTTCGGGGGAAAAAAAAGTAAAGAGGGGTCCTCCGAGGCAGGTAGAAGGCCAAGGTCAAAGCTATGGTATTTCCAATTACAGATGCACAAGAGACGATGAATAAGGAAGACTGAAGAATGGATGCCTTGGAAGTACGGTGCTGGTGATGAATAGTGAATATACCATGAACTGCCAAGAGAGTAAATAAATACATCTTGAAAGAAATAGCCAGAAAGCTCCTGAGAAAGAGAGGATGGTTAGACTCCATCATATGGACTGTGGACGTGTTAACAAAGATTAGTCTCTTCAGAAGGGCACCATGCTTGGTAAGGTATGTTGTTGTTGTTGTTAAGTGCTGTTGGATTGTATACAAGTCACAGTCATCTATGAACAACACGACTCAACTCTGTTCTGTCCTCTGCCATCCTCACAAACTCGGACACAACTGAGCCCATTGCTGGAGTCACTGTGCCAGTCTATCGGTGTCTTCCTCAGCTTCTCTGACCCTTCACCCTTCCAAGCATGATGTATGTCCCTCGCCAAGGAATAGAATCTCCCAGCAACATGCCTGAAGTGTGGGAGTCGAAGCTTTACCGTCTTTGCCTCTAAGGAGCCCTCTGGCTTCACCCCTCCGAGACATATCTGCTTGTCTTTTTCAGCTGTCCATTGGATAGTCAGTACTCTTCTCCAACATCACAGTTCAAAAGCATCAGTGGTAAAGCATAAGGGCGAGAGAAACAGAGGAAGAGCCTCAGAGACAACTGCCAAGGTGGCTGGGGAAATGGGCTCACGCACAGCAAGGGCTGTGAGAATGAGACAGGACCAGGCAGCGATGCGTTCTGTTGCCCACAGGGCTGGGCTGCTGGCAGTCAGAGCTAATCCCAGGTCTCCTACTAGCTACATGAGGCTGAAGATTCTGGCTCTTCACAATGACAGAACACAATGCGCCATCTCGACGACCCACTGGGGTTTTCGACTCCATGGCTGCTGATACCGTAGCTGTCCGTCTCACAGAGGGTCTCTAACCTGTTCACTGAGCCTCTGCTTCACCAGACACCATGTCACACGCTCTCACTGCCGGGAGCTGATTCCAGCTCAGAGACCCTGTAGGAATGGACAGAACCGCCCCACCGAGTTCCCAAGACTGTAAATCTTCCTGGACACAGCCTGCCTCCTCTCTCTCACAGCAGCTGGTAGTTCCAACGGCCAATCTTTCAAGGAACAGTTCAGTAAATAGACAACTCATAAATTCTTAATACAAACACCCTCCAGTTGGAATGAGCGGTTAGTTTCTACGGAGTCAGGGGCACAGCTGGTTGACCAGGCGTGAGCTGTGGACACTTTCACGAGCTGAGCTGGTCAGCCATCTTCTGTTCACCTTTTCTGTCTGCTCTGATCTTTTGACCAGCTGATCACACACACACAGTTCAGGAAGCGATCTCTGTTACCTCAAACACACACGCTAATCCTCTGGCCTGCTGCACAGGAGCAAGATAGACACGGGATCTGGGAGCGTTTGGTGCAGCCTGAGTTGGGGGTGAGCACAGAGCAGGTGAGCAGGGGCAGGAGACAGAGTGGCGTCTATTGCATTAAGTGTTGTGCTGCCAACTGACTCCTGTGAGATTTACTACCTCTGAAAGCCTGTTGGAGGGGCAGCTATGAGTTGGTTCTGACTCGAAGGTACACAACAACAATAACAACAACTGCTATCAAGGATGGACCCCATCCCAGGAAGATTACAGGTCGGCTTGAGTGTGCCCTGAAGACGCCTCTGAGCCGGCTGGCACCTGTGGCAGGTCACCATCTCTGAGAGTGTAGCGCACTTACCTGAGACCAGGGTGAAGTGACCCAGGCGGGTCTTGGAGGGCCTGCAGGCGGGTACAGGGGATACTTGGCGCAGGGAGATGGGGCACAGGCACGCTGGAGCCCCAGGTCTGGCTTGGGCAGCTGCACGCACTTCTTGGAGGCCAGCTCTCGGTACTTTCCAGAAACAAACTTCTCTGCACATCTCAGGAATCTCGTCTGAATTCCCCCGTCACACGTAACTGAGCACTGGAAAGAAGAACAGGGGTGGGGTGGAAATCAGTGCCACGCCCCGCGAAGTCTCCTTAAGAGCGTGTGCGGCTGGCAAGGCCCAGGCTGGGGTCAGCGTGAACATTTCCACAAGAGCTGATGTTCTAGAAAACGCTCTGGGCTGTGAGGTACTGTAGCCATCTTTTAAAAAAATATTATTCCTTTATTGATACTTTATCGAGAGTTTATAGAAAACTTGGATTTCCATTCATTCATCATCACACATTTTCCTCCCTACTCCGCCACCCCCAGTTAGTTTTTCTCTTTAAAAAGGTTCTTTCATTGTTTCAGAATGCCCCTCCTTCCAGGGCTCTCAGTCCACTTTGCTATGCATCTCCTATTCTGGACTGTTGTCGTGCAAGTAATACCTAATCGTATTTTTATTTTAGACAGTTGTTCCCCTCATTTATTTAAATTCAGTGTTTGACCCAGCAATTGCACTACTGCGAATATACACTAAAGAAATGAGAACAGATATATGCACAACCATGTTTATGGCTGCCTTGTTCACAAATGCAAAGAGATGGAAGCAACCCAAGTGCACATCAACAAATGGACAAATAGAGAAGCTGTGATATATTCACACAATGGAATACTACACAGCACGGAAAAACAAGGAACTAATGAAATATTATGCAAAATAGGTGACCCTGGAGGATATTATGCTGAGTGAATTATCTCAGTCACAGAAGGACAAATACTGCATAATGCCACTTTCTAAAACAAGACTGACATGGGGGTTTGGGGAAGACTAAGAAGGGATAAATAACGTACTGGCCATCTTAATGGTTCTTCAGTGATGATTGGCTTAAAGCACTAGGCTGTGGACTAAGAGGTCAGCAGTTTGAATCCACCAGCTGCTGTGTGAGGAAGATGTAGCAATCTGCTCCTGTGCAGTTAGGGCACCAGTTAGCAGGGAGAGGAAGGGAAGGGAATACGGGATTGATTAAACATTACAAGTAATTATGCTAATTAATGGTGGGGAGCTCTGTTGGCCTAGAGGGTAAGGAGATGTGCTGTCAAATGAAAGGCAGGCTGCTTGACACCCTCAGCTCCTCCGTGGGAGAAGAATGGCCAGGCTCCTGCTAGGAGATTCACAGCCTCTGAAAACCAACTGCAGAGCCAGCCAGGAGTCAGGTCCAAGTCCATGGCATAGAACACCAATAGTAATAGATTGTAACTAATGTTATAAAACAAAAGGTCTAGGAATGATTGTATGAGGAACCCATTAGTAGAAGATCTGCGTTATGCAGATGACACAACCCTGCTTGCTGAAACTGAGAAGGACCTGAGGCACTTGCTGCTGAGGGTCAGGGACTGAAGCCTTCAATATGGATTGAGGCTCAAAGTCAAGAAGACAAAGATTCTCACCACTTGACCAATTGGTAGCATCAGGATGGATGGTGAAGAGATTGAGATTGTTCACAGCTTCAGTCTGGTTGGCTCCACAATCAACACTCTTGGCACCAGCAGCCAGGAAATTAAAAGACGTATTATGAGGGGAAAGTCTGCTGTTAGGGACCTCTCTAAAATACTCAAGAGCAACGGTGTGTCTCTGGAGACTAAGGTGCATCTGGTACAGGCCATGGTCTTTGCAATCACTTGTTATACGTCAGAGAGCTGGACAATGACCAGGGAGAATAGAAGGAGAATTGATGCTTTTGAGCTTTGGTGTTGGAAAAGAGTGGTAAGGGTACAATGGACTTCTAAGGAAACAAAAAGATTCATCCTGGAGAGGGTTAAACTGGGCTGCTCCTTGGAGGCAAGGATTCTGAGGCTTCGTCTGACATACTTTTGTCATGTTGTAAGGAGGGATTGGTCCTTGGAGAGGGACATCATGCTTGTGGAGGGCAGGCGCAGGAGGGGAAGGCCCTCTGGGAGATGGATTGATTCAGTGACTGGGGCAATCGGGATGAGTGTGTCAGAGGCAATGAGATTGGCACAGGACAGAGCAGAGTTTAGAGCTGTTGTACATAGGGTCACTTTGAGTCGCAAGTGACTCGACGGAACTTAACAACAACAGCAACTAAACTAAAACACTCGTTTAAAATTGTTGTTGTGTGCTGTCAAGTTGCTTGCAACTCATAGAGACAACAGCTCTGTTCTATCTTGTGTCAATCTTATCGTCTCCAACACATCTACTCCCATTACCCCAGTCACTGAATCAATCCATCTCATCGCGGCTTTTCCTCTCCTGTGCTGTCCCTCCACCCTCCCAAACATGAAGTCCCTCTCCAAGGACTGATCCCGCCTTGCAACATGTCTAAAGTATGTCAGACAAAGCTTTAGAATCCTTGCCTCCAAGGAGCAGCCTGGTTTCATCCTCCCTAGACAAACCTGTTTGTTCTCCTGGAAGTCCATGGTATACTCAATACTATTCTCCAGCACCACGACTCAAAGTCATCAATTCTCCTTTGATCATTCCTAGTCATTGCCCTCCTCTCTGATGCATAGCATATAATGGCAAAGACCATGGCCTATATCAGGAACACCTTAGTTTCCAGACTGACATTGTTGCTCTTCAGTATTTTGGAGAATATAGACTCAGAATCCTTCGGGGGTAGTTCTATGTTGTGCTACAAGGTTAATGAAGGGTCGAATTAGTCAATGACAGTACATTTTTGTTTCTATCTTTTAAAAAGGGAGCTCTGGGGGCTTAGTGGTAAGAAGTTGCATTGCCAACTCAAGGGCACAGAATTCAATCCACCAGCTAGCTGTTCCACAGAAGAAAGATGGGCAATCTCCTGTCAGGTTATTGACTGCCTCTGAAAGCCAACTGGAAGGTCAGTTATTGCTGGTCCCGACCCTGTTATACTCAACATCAACAGCAACAACACATTTTTAAGAAGACCTTGAGGTGCTAGTGGTGCAGCATTGCCGGCTGTAAGGTGAGAAGGATGCCAGAGACGTGAGGAGACACGTCAGAGACAAAGAGGGTCCCTAAAGCACAGCCAGTGCACTAGGCAATCAGGACGTGGGGCTTCAAGGCCATCTGAGCGCACAGCCCAGGGTTATCACCCACAACCTGCAGGCGGGACATGGAGTCCTCCAGTGTGGAGAGGAATGGAAACTCGAACCCACAGTCCTTTCCAGAGAGCCGAGTGTTGGCTGGGAGCCCCGAGCACCCATAGAGAGCAAACCCATGCGTTCCTGGCACCTCACCAAGCCTTAGCTGCCCCTGCTGCCAGGATCCCAGGCTCTGACAAGGGCTGGGGGAACCCAGAAAATCAGAGTGTGCAGGACAGAACATGATGCAGGAGCCCTGGGGAGAAGGATGAGGAAGAGGAACCGTGAGGAGGGAACCCTAGGGGAGTAACCAGCATGACCAACTTGTGCTGGGTGAGTGGGTGGTGATGAGCAGAGCTGGTTAGTAAGCGGTGCGGCCAGGGGGTGCCCATTTGCCTGGATCTGCCCCCACAGCCCAGCCTGAGGCTCACAGGTGTGCTTTCTGAGTGTGTGAAGTCAGCATGGGGGCCAGGGAGGGAGAGGCCTCTGGCAGCTGCTGGAAGCCAGGCCTAAGAGAGCCACGCTGTCAGTGTGTGTGTGTGTGTGTGTGTGTGTGTGTGTGTGTGTGTGCGCGCGCGCGCACGCTCCCCTGGAGAGTCTTGGTAGTGAAAAAGTTCACGCACTTCCCTGTAAACTGAAGGGTGGTGTTGCTGTCAAGTGTACAGGGTCGAATACAACTCAGAGTGACCCTATGAGCGACAGATCTGAACCCTGTCCTATCCAGTACCGCCCTCATCATGCCTGACACGCTTGAGCCTATGATCACAGTCATTGGATCAATCCATCTTGGCGAGGGTCTTCCTGACCTTCACTGTCCCTCTGCCTTTCCAAGAGTGATGTCCCTCTCCAAGAAATAGTCTCTTCTAGAAACATGCTTACAGTATGTGAGATGAAGTTTGCCCATTCTTGGCTCCAAGCAAGGAGCATTCGGGCCGCACTTTTCCTAAGACATATCTGTTCTTTTGACAGTTGATGGGACATTCAGTGCTCTGCTCCAACCCCACAGCACAAAGGCATTAATTTCTTTTCTCTGTCATCCTTATTCATTGTCCAGCTCTCAGACTGGTCATCCACTTCCAAAATATAACAGGCCTTCAAAAACCCTATGTACAATAGAGCACAATATGGTAACTGAGGCTGAGTCCTCAAAATTGGATACACAAAGGAAAAGGAACAGTTGTAAACAGAAACTAATGGCATCGTGCTCGGATGGGTGGAGGGACGGCACAGGAGAGGAAGACCCTGGAATAGACAAATTGATACTGTAACTGGGGTAATGGGGCAGTGTGTGTTGGAGTCAGTGAGACTGGCTCAGGACAGGGCAGTCTTCAGAGATGTTGTACATAGGGTTGCTATGAGCCACAGGGCACATAACAACAGCTCTCGGATTGCACAGGAAATAATTGAAAAGAGCATGGCCCCAAAATAATATTACCCATGTTACCCATAGTGGACAGTGTTTGGTGGAGCTCCCCAATTAAAACAAGCTTGGAAGCAGGAGTGGCAGCCACTTCTGAAATGGCTCACCTCCGGAAACTCTATGAACGTGGAGAAATGATGAAAGTTATACAAGTGTCTTTCATTCATAGGGTCTCTATGAGTCATCTAAGACTCAAAGGCACTTAACAACAACAATGTGGCCCAAACACATCTTAGTTTTCAAACTGACATGGTTGCTCTTCAATAATTTAAAGAGGTCTCTGAAGGCAGATTTTCACAATGTAATACATCTCCTGATCTCCTGACTGCTAGTACCAAGTGTATTGATTGTGGATCCAAGAAAGAGGAAGTCACTGACAGTTTCACTCTTTTTTCCCTTCAGTCGTTACATCACCTATTGGTCCAGTGGCAGGAATTTTTGCCTTCTTAATGTTGAGATGCAATCCATAACTGAAGGCTGTAGTCTTTGGTCTTTTACAACCCATGCTTCAAGTCCCCCTCACTTTCAGCAAGCAAGGTTGTGTCACCTGCATAATGCAGGTTATTGGTGAGTATTCCTCTGATCCTGATGCCACATTCTTCTACCTAGAATCCAGCTTCATGAACAATTCGCTCAGCGCAGAGATTGATGAGGAATAGAGAGAGGATACACACTTGATTCTCTCAGCGGAAGGGTTGTTGTTGTTGTTGTTAAGTGTCGTCGAGTGGCAGGCGACTCATAACGACCCTATGAAGGAGAGTCCTCAACGCCTGGGTGCCTTTCATCCTTCCTCCAGGTTCATAGGGTTCCCCAGAGGCAAGATATTATGGAAGTGGATGCCACTCCTCCTTCCAGCGGAAGGGTAGGAGGTTCAAATTCAACCAGTAACTCCTCTAAAGAAGGGTCTGTCCACGTCTGTGGGGGCCTGTTATACTGATACACATGGGTCCCCAGGAGTTGGGATCCACTCAGCAGCAACTGATAAAGTGTTTTGAGTCCCTGGCGGGTGCACATCCAAAGGTTGGACGTTTGAACCCACCAGCTTGTCCACAGGGAAAGATGAGACGGTCTGCTTCTACAAAGATCCACAGACTTAGAACCCTTCCCGGGCACTTCTGCTCTCTGCTGTGGCAAAACCATGACTCAGAATTGAATCAGGGACAGAGGGTTGGTTTTGAGGTTGTTTTTTTTTTTGGTGGTTTTTTCTTTCTTTCTCTTTTCTGGAGGCTTCAGTTGGTACAGATTGTTAATGTTCTTGGTTGCTAACGGAAAGGTTTCAGGTTCAAATCCATCCAGAGGAGCTGTTGTTGAGTGCTGTCATTAGAGATGACCCATAGCTGGCCCGTTGGTGAGTTTCTAGAGGCAGTTTATTCTCACAGGAGGAGATTGCCCATCTCTCTCTTACAGGGTGGTTGGTGGATTTGAACTGCTTGCCTTTGAGTTGGCAGCGCAACTCCTTACCATGAGGCCACCAGAGCCCCTTTCGGAAAACGTGGTCACTGGAAATTCTACGGAGCATAGTTCTTCTTGGATGCACTTGGACTCTCCAGGGGTTGGGGTTCACTCGACAGCAGCTGGTCTCTGGCATTTGTCCTTCCAGCTCTGTGGGGACGAGGGGCTGGCACGCTGTCCCTGAGGCTGCCCTGAAGGGTGGCTGGCCCAGGATGGTGGACTCTGTCCCAAGCAGCACTTGGCCCACAATGGTCAAACCCAGTGTGCAAGCTGAGAATGCGGCTGAGTTGCTCAGCCAACCAGCTCCTATTTTCTCTCCTAATGCTGGGGGCTGCCTGCTTGCTCTCCTCTCAGGATGGGGGACTACTTTCCAGAGCGGCTTGCCTTCATCCTGCTCTGACCCGGAAAGGCATCCTGAGAAATGACAACTGCTGCAGCAGATTGTGAATCCCCTCTGCCCACCACGAGCCTGGAGACATGCACCCCATTCTCTGCTCAAGGTCCCCACAGTCACCATTGCTTGGTACCAATTCATGCCAGTGGCGGGGCCTGGGCCCATGCCCAGGAAACAAGAGGTGCACCCTAGGGCCATTCTAGCCCAGAGGGTGACCTAAAACTTGAGGTGCCAGAAAAATGTGGGGGAAGAAGAATGGGGTCAGATAAACCATGACAAGGGAGACGGTCCTGGGGAGATGCTGGTCTAACCTGCTTTATCTCAACCAGTGGGGTTGCGGCTGTGTTCTCATCAGCAGCCAGCGGTGCCCCCTCCACCAACCACATGCCCATAGCTGTTTTTAATGGAAACTTTTCAGAGGCATAATTCTCCTTAATTACCTGGACCTCACAACCTCAGAAGCACTAACCTGGGACCAGGTACACCTCAGGCAAGAAGCACCTAATGACATTGGAGCAGAAGCATCTAGCTGAAGACCAGGTAAGGTTCCTGGGACCAGGAGAACCCACTAGGATTAGACACATCTGCCTCAGGCCAGGAGCACCTGTGGTGGACCAGGAGCTCGTTGCTGAGATCAGGAACACTGGGATCTAGGAGCACCTGCCTTAGACCAGGAACTTCTAGGATCAGATAGATACACCTCCCTCTGACTAGAAGCATCTACCTTAGGCCAAGAGCACCCAGCTCACTACCTCAATTCACAAGCACTTACCTCACACGAGTAGCATCTATCCGGGACAAGAAGCACCCACCTGGGAACAGGAGCATCTGCCTGGGACCAGCTGCACCTCTGTGGGACCAGGCACCCCTATCTGGGACCAGCCACACGGACCTGGGCCCAGACACTCTCATTTGGGACCAGCTGCACCTAACTGGACCCAAGCACCCTCATCTGGGACTAGCTGCACCTGTGGGACCATGCAGACTTACCCGGAAACAGCTGCATCTATCTGAAATGAGGCACCCCCATCTGAGACCAGCCACACATCTGGGAGACAAGCCGTACTCCTGCAATTGGGCAGCCCTGCCCGGGACCAGCCACACCTCTGTGATCGGGCAACCCTACCTGGGACTAGCTGCACCTCTGTGGGGTCGGGTAGCCCTACCTGGGACCCACCAAAACTCTGTGATCAGGCAGCCTCATCTGGGACCAGTTGCATCTCTGTGATTGGGCATCCATACCTGGGACCAGGCAGACACCAGCCACTGCAGCTTCTTGTGTTTGTGGCAGCGTCTCAGCAGACACGCCTCATGAGTCCTGGGCTTGGGTTCAGACGTGCAGACGGCGTCAGGCAACAGCTGCGCCCTGGCAGATGGGTTGGTGCTCTTACAGGCCACAGACCTCTTCCTCCAGCCTTTCCCGCAGGTTCGGGAGCACTATGTGGGCAGAGGGAGAAGTTAGCTCCATGGTAAGGCTCTGCTTGGGGTGCTAAGACAGCTGTCCCTTAAAGTCCCAGGGAGGAGCTTGCTGGGGCCTGACCATGCTCAGTACTTCTCCTGCCCCCATTACCTCTGCCCAGGGCCCAGTGCTCCAGGCAGGTGGGCAGCTCTGGGGGTTGCAGGCCTGTCTGCTGCTGGGCATGGGCTGAGGACACAGGCTGGCTGAGACTGGCTCCTCTCGGTAGCGGGCCCGCTGCATGCACCAGACAGGTCGGCTCTGAGCCCCAACACCACAGGTCCGGCTGCAGACACTCCAGTTCCCGACAGACCAGCTAGAAAGAAAAGACACCCATAAAGTGGGGCTGGGGCTGGGGCTACATCAGCAGGCGGCAGAGCCCCATCCACCACCCACACACCCATTGCGTACTACAGATGGAAGAGAAGAGGGTCTAAGCCACGAGAAGTCAGTCCTGGAGCAGCTCAAGGCAAAGTTCTTTTCCTCAGAACCGTCTGAGATAGAAACCCTTTGTACTTAGAGGCTCCATCTCAATGGCTGGATAGAGGCAGAGAGGTTTTGAACGGGGGTCGGTGGGAGTGAAAGGGATGCTGGTGGGGGAGGGAAAGGGGTGGGTCAAGACACACGTGAAAAGGATGGGGAGCAACACTGAATCTTCTGTAATGTTTTTATAATAGGGGAACGTCTTTCATCTACCTACTTCTTTCTGTAAAATGCTTGTCTGTCAGATACTGTTCTAAATCTGAACATTCAAATTAAGACAGGCTAGGAAGAAGGATTGGCTATCCACTTCCAAAATAACAGGGCTCTAAAAATTCTGCATATAAGAGAGCACACTTAGACTAGATGAACAGATATCGTAACTGAGGCTGAGCCCTCAAATATGGAAACACAAAGGAGGAGGAACAGTTGTAAGCAGACACTAGTGATTGGAACATAGAATGTGAGATGCATGAATGTAGGAAAGTTAGACATTGTTAAGAAAGAAATGGAATGCATAAATACTGACATTGGTGAGATGAGATGGATTGGCATGGAACATTTTAAATCAGACAATCATATGATTTACGATGCTGGAGATGAAAAGGGGAAAATAGGATTGCTTTCATAGTTAAAAAAGGAGTTTTAAGATCTATCTTGAAATACAAGATTGTGAGTGACACGATCACACCCCTATTCATACAAGGAAGTCCAGTGAATACCATTATTGTTCTAAAATGTGCACCAGAGCCAAAGGGGAGGTCACGGCTGTTGCTAGCGGCCAGTTTTTCAGAGGTTTAGTTGTGTCTTACAGAGCTACTATGGAAGGGCTTGTTAATGTCCTAGAAAGCAGAAGATGTCATTTAGATGAGTAAGCTGTGACAGATCTCGCCAAGCCCTTATCAAGTGTCGCAAGTGCATACACAAGCTGGACAATGAAACAAGGAGACAGAAGAACTGACATATTCAGACTGATGGTGTGAAGACCGCCGAACACGCTGTGGACATCCAGAGGAACACAGGAGTCTTAGAAAGAACACAGCCCGAATGTTCCTTGTTGGTGGTGTGAGATGCTGTCCAGTCGACTACAACTTGTAGTGTCTCTATGGATACCACTAGAAACCCTGCCCCAGCCTGTGCCATCCTCACTGCCTCTGTCATGCTCAAGGCCATTGTTAATCGGTGTGATAGTCCATCTCATTGAAGGTCATCCTCTTTTTCGCTGAGCCTCCGCTTTCCCAACATGATGTCTTTTTCCAAGGACTGGATCTTCCTGCCAATGTGCCCAAAATATGTTAGATGAAGTTTCACTACCCCTTCCTCTATGGAGCAACTTGACTGCATTTCCTCCAAGATTGCTTTGCTTGCTCTCTTGGCATTCTAAGAGATGGTTACTATTTTCCCCCAAGACCACAATTCACAGGCAATGATTGTTCTTTGGTCTTCCTTATCCATCATCCAGTTTGAATAGGCATGAGAAGAATTGAAGATACCATGGCTTGGGTGGCTTGGATCAGGTACAGTTTAGTCTTTAAACTGACCTCTAGGGTTTGAACCAGGAGGTGGCCTTAAGCCGAAGGAAGCTGGGAAGGAAGCAGCCATGTTGTTCCTGGTTTTGGCTGGCACCTTCACAGGCTCGTGGGAAGCTCTCCTTGCCAGAAGGCAGGAGCATGGTGGTGGGAGTGCAGGAATCGTGGCAAGCTTTTGGAGTGGACTGCTTTTCTGGGAATGTGTTTGACGTGCAGGTTTGCTCTGTCCCTGGAGTGAGGCTAGCCAGCCTAGGCCTAGGGTTTGAACCAGGAGGCGGCCTTAAGCCCAAAGGGATTGTCTTCCTGTCAAACATTCTTCTAGGTGGTATAGCACTGGTCTGTGCGTTGCTGTACAGAGGTAACTCATGGTTGCTGTGATGCTGAAGCCTGTGACAGTGATGTGCCAGTCGTGGTAATGGGCACCCCTGGTGGACAGTGTTGGCTGGAGCTTCCCGACTAAATCAAGCCTGGAAGCAGGAGCAGCATCTACTTCCAAAATGACTTGCCTCTGGAAACTTTATGTACCAACAGTGCTCAGGCTGTTCGTTCATAAGGTCGCTATGAGTCGTCTACAACAACTTGTTATTTAACACTTTAAGTTGTGGGTTGATGGACATCCTTGACCAAACTTCCTGAGTGAGGGATTGGCCTGTCCTTGAGTGATTCTCTTGATGTTGTGGCTGCTTTGGTGGTTTGAAAGCAGAGAAGGCAGGCAAGGACTGCATGATAGTACCTGGATGCCTGACAAGAGTCAAAATGCTCTCACTCAGCCTTTAATGGCAAGCTTCTTCTCTATGAATCATAGGCACTTGAGATTTAAGATCCAAAACAGGTTTTATAAACACCCTTGGCCACAGGTGATTAGAGCTGTGGTGTAGTCAGGGCTAGGCTTGGCCCAATGGCACCACTGCCTGGTCTTGAGATGACCGTTTATGTTTACAAAGCAGTGGATGGTTTCTCAGAAATCTCACTTCAGTAAGGAGCACCTTGGGAAGTCCTCTGAGCATGTTCTTAGGAGGTGATTGCTGTTCCCTAGAAAGGATTATCCCACTTGGAAAGACGGAGAGCCACGGGAAGTGAGGAAGACTGTCAACACGACGAAAGACAGAGGGCCATGGAAAGTGAGGAAGACTGTCAACAAGATGAAAGATGGAGGGCCACGGAAAAGATGATAGATGGAGGGCCACGGAAAGTGAGGAAGACTGTCAAAAGAGGAAAGATGGAAGGCCACGGAAAGTGAGGAAGACTGTCAACAAAATGGCATAGAGCCTTGATGGGCTTGAGTATGTCCGAGTGATGGGGATGGCACAGGCAGGACAGGTTTCTGAGCTGTTGTTCATAGGGTCACTTTGAGTTGTACTTGACTAAACAACGACAGGGCAAAAGGATTATGGGGACCCAGGAACGTTCCTCACTGAGCTGGTGGTCTTGATTCGCATCAGTGTCAATTTCTTAGAACAGAAGCTGGTTCACACTTGTCCAAACTTTGTGGTCTAAGGAGGAAGAAGATGAGCTTCTTTAGCAAATTCTCGAATATTTTTAGGCTACGAGAGACTGGGGCACAGCTATGGTATAAAGTCAAGAACTGCAGTCTTCAACATGGATTTAAGTTCAATATCAAGAACACAAAGATTCTCACCACTGGGCCAATAGGCAGCACCATGATGGATGGAGAAGAGATGGAGACACCAGCAGTTAGGAAATCAAAAGGTGAATTGCATTAGGTAAATCTACTGTCAGGGACCTCTCCAGAGTACTGAGAAGCAATGATCTCAATCTAGAGACTAAAGTGTACCTGGTCCAGACCATGGTCTTCACAATCACTTGCTATGCATCAGAGAGCTGGTTAATGACTAAAGAAGACACAAGAAGAGTTGATGCCTTTGAGTTGTGGTGTTGGAGAAGAATCTTGAACATACCATGGACTGCCAAGAAAACAAACAGGTCCTCTCTTGGAGAGGGTGAAACCAAGTTTCTCCTTGGAGGCTAGGATTTTGAAGCTCCATCTCACAGATTTTGGACCTGGAGCCAGGAGAGACCAATCCTTGGAGAAGGACATCATGTACGGAAGGGTGGAGGGACAGAGCAGGAGAGGAAGACCTTGGATGAGACGGATTGATACAATAAGTAGGACAATGGGCGTTGGTATGTCGGAGTCAGTGAGACTGGCTCAGGACAGGGTAGGCTTTAGAGCTATTGTACATAGGATCACCGTGAGTTGCAGGTGACTCGATGGCACATAAAAACAACAACAAAGGAAAAGGACGAAGTCAAGTTGTTCCTTGGAGGCAAGGATTTTGAGGCTCCACCTTATATGCTTTGGGCATGTTGCCAGGGAGGACTGGTCATTTGAGAAGGACGTCATGTTTAGAAAAGTGGAGGGACAGCACAGGAGAGGAAGACCCCAGATGAGATGGATTGACACAGTAATTGGGGTAATGAGGGTAGATATGTACAGTGAGATTGACCCAGGATAGAGCAGGGTTTGGAGCTATTGTGCACTGAGTCACTATGAGTTATGGTCGACTTGATGGTACAAAGCAATAAAAGAAAGAAAAGAAATCCCTGCCTCTCTTTGTTCAGGCAGGAAAGGAAGATTGCCATATAGCAAGGAGCAGAGCGAGCAGAAGCACACTGTCTTTCTGATGCCAAGTCACCAGCTCATCAGTGCAGGTTCTGATGGGGCGCACAGGGATAAGGGCGTTCATGGGCCCCAGTGAAGTACTGCTGAGCTCAACATCTGTAGACACAGAGCGAGGTGCCAGAGTGCTCATACACAGTGTTTCTGAGTTGGAGCCCACAGAGGATGAATTTCCCCGAGTCTCCAGGCAAAAATAAAGATTTGTGAAAATGCCCCCAGTTTACCCTTCAGCTTCATTTTGTCATCTCTTCTGCCCCCACTCGACACCCATATGCCAGTTTGAATGAACATCACTGCAGGCCAAGTGCTCCCAAGCCACCTCCCAGAAACACCCTGAATGACTAGACTGAGCCTTAAGATTGGTAAACTCAAGTTAGAGAAAAATACAGAGGGAGCATCATGGCGGAATACTCTTATGTCAAGTCCACCAAACTCGTGCTCAAGGGAACAAAGGCCAAGAGTAAGAAGAAAAAGAACAAAAATAAGAAAAGAAAGAGAGAAGAGGATGAAGAAACTCTGGTGGACAGTTGACAAACTTTGGTGAAATTTCAGGAACCATAGCCATTGAAATGGATAAAAGAACCTGTATCCATGCACTTGACAATGGTCTTTTTACACTGGGAGCTCCACATAAAGAAGTTGATGAAAGCCCTAGCCCTCCAGAGC